ATATCGTCAGGGTAAAGAGGGATAATGGAGTCTAGAAGATCATTGAGAACGATGTTCGAGATGTCGGGAGCGAGGGGGTTACCCATCGCTAGTCCGGAGATTTGGTTAAAAAATTGTCTTTGGAAAGTGAGGTAGCCTGATTTACAGCATAGATGAAGGGATTCGAGATATGAGGAGCGGTTAAGTGAGGTGTGAGGTTCAATGATAGTCCAATTGTCGTCTATTATAGTAAGTGCCTTGTCTATGGGTATGTTCGTAAATAAACTTTCAACATCGAAGGAGCAAAGAATGAAATTGTCTGGAATGGTAAAGGAGAGTAGCTGTTCATGGAGATGGAATGAGTTTTGTACATCATAAGGGTTGTTGTGGCTGAAGATTTGTAAGGAAGGTAGTAAGAATTTGCTAAGTTTAACAGAAGGAGAATTAATGTTGGAAGTGATCGGACGGAGTGGGGTGCCGGGTTTGTGGATTTTAGGAAGTCCATAAAAACGGGGAGCAACTGAATTGTAGGAGATAAGGTTTCTGTAAGTGGGATAGTTTATGAGTTTAGAATTTAGAAGATTAATCTAGAAGGAAAATTAATCTTTTATTTTAAAAGATGCTACTTTGACTATTAAATCCAGTGAGGTATGTGGTGCATGCAACTGCCTTATATCTGACCCGGTAACTCATTTTCTGATCCAATGTATCAAGTTCAATGAGCCAAGAAATAAGTACTTTAAGGCATTTATCACTGAATCCAGAGAAGATGCTAGTGTGGAGGAGATACTGAAAATAGGCACTACGAAAAAAATAAACCAACTGTATTATTTCATACAGGGCTGTTCATTGAACTGTTAAGTGGTAAAGTTAATCATATAACATATATTAATGCTTATTTATATTGTCATTTGTCTTATACCTCTCGAATATTTAAAAAAATAAATAAAAAATGTTTTACTAATTGTTATGTGTATATATATATATATATATATATATATATATATATATATATATATACATAACATATATATTAGTCATACTTAATGCTGTGGACATTGTTAATGTTATGTTTGAATGCAGTACTAGACTCAAGATCTAACATTGTTAATTAGACCATTATATTTATTTGTACAGGAATTTCCTTAGGCAAATAAAATAAACTTTCTATATTATGTAAATTAGTTTAATATTAAGGTTTGGTCTTCAATTTAATTTTAGTAATCATATGTTACTATAATTAATTTTGTTTGTGTTAATATGTCATGTGAATAATTCTTTAAGAAAAGAATCTGTAAGAAAAAGACAAAAGTTAGGAGAAAAAATAGTTAAGATGTAACTCAGAGGCAATTTAAAATTTTTGTTTTGTTTGTATTGAATGTGCAATGTGCAGATGTTTCAGTATTCACTTTAATCTAAAAAGAAAAAAAATATATTTTACTTAAAATATATTTTTTTTTTTACCTGGAAATGTATTATACACCTTTATTGGAAGGTGGTAAAAATGGTTGAGTAAATTAATGTTCAACAGTTAAAAGAAAAGCTAAATCTAGTTCTATTAGCTCTGGAAAAAGAAAATAGCTGCTCTGAAGTTTCCACAAAAAGGAAAATTCCAAAGAGAAGAGGGGACAAAAGAATTTTTTTTTTTTTGTTTTTGATTGGTGGTTCGCTGGGGTGGAGAGGTGAAGAGAGGATGGGAGAAGGGATCCTGGCTCCACTGGGTAAAATCCAGTAATAGTATTACCATTTTGGAAGTTGTGTTTGGCAGAGTCACTAGTTGTTAGGAACCACAAGAGAGAGGATCTCCCAGGAAGCTTGAGGAGGTTACATAAGAAATAAATATTAGAAACAAGGTCTATAAAACTACCAGGTTCACCCACTCGGAGGAATTGAGCTGTGACTAACCACTTGACCAATATCCCTCCAGCCCTTCTGGACATTTAAAATTATTATTAACCTTTCTACATGAAGTAAATACTTTAACATACAATATCTTATTAATATTAATAAGTTTTAAAAGTGGAAGAAATGTTCATTTGCTATTTTGTTTATTCTCATGCAAATGAAATGTAATTCAACAAGTTGATGTATTATTTTTTTACTTTCACTTACCTATATATGTAATATATAGTAAGGGAAATTATTGGGATAGTGAAAATTTTCAAATCTGAATTTTCCACAGAAATACACTTTTTGAGGTCCCCTGAGTCCAAATAACCTAGTCCCACAAAATGGTGTGTGTGTGCGTGCGTGCGTACAGTCTAGCTCAAAAACAAAAGTCGTACAAAACTGATATTACTTATTTTTGGTGAATTTTCCCTTCTTTCCATAAACACTATTTTCTAGGCACATATCTTTCTCAGGTTATCAACAATCAACGGTCCTATGTTTATGATCTCCAATTCAAGTCCTCTGTTTTTAAATAAATAAACAGTTTATTTCGTGTATATTATAGGGCTCTAAATGCATGTAAATTTTCATTTGGTTAACTTGAGCCATATAGAAGTTACCACAAACTTTGCGATTTTAAGAAAAAAAATGAAGACCTCTGCCTTGAAAATTTGACACAAATAATTTTTATTTTTTGATTCCAGTGAAAATTGGGTAATTGGAGGTTTATCTAGGCGTGAAATACAAATCTCAAATTCCTCCTTAAACAAATATTTGAACCCACTTCTTAATACTTATCTTTTTCGATGAATTTTTATTTTATTTTATAGGGGAATTCAGGACGCTTTCAAATGAATAAGGATATTATCAATCAAAAAAATCTGGTGCGCGCAACACACAACTTTCACTTACCGCTCAACTTTGAATAGAAATTATTTTCTAGGCATGTTGGGGTAATATAAAATTTTTGAATTGCATTTTTAACTGAGCTAAAGCTAAAAGATTGCAGCTAATAAATCATAAATACTATTAAAATAACAAAAGTCCTATTTATTATATCACCGGTTGGTTATGGATTGTATGAATCGTTGATTATGGATTGTATGATCCGTTGATTACGCATTGTACGACTATTAGTTATTAAACTGTTATTTTCCATTGCAAAGTTTACTAAAACGGAATTACAAGATTTGCATTGTCTGTCACAATGATTGTGTGATAATGGATGATGATATGAGGATGATAATGGATCTGTTGGAATATCCCAAAGGGAAAATTTATCAAATTATTCACTAATTTAATTTTCTAAAAGGTTACATAATGATTTTTCGGATAAACAGATGATAGATATCTAATTATTTAAATATAATATCAGATCTAGAATTATTAAACTACAGTAAATATATTTAAGGTTATAAACGTATCCATGAAATATTTTTATATTTCACTTCTTCTTCCACACAAGTGCAATGAAAATAGTATCTTAAACAATGTCATTGCCTTGAATCCGTGGTTTTTGAAAACTTTTACAAACTTTAAAAAAAATTAAAAGTTTACATTTAGTAAAAAAAATTCATTTAATTCCTAAATAATCTTAAATAAAATAGTAGTTAAATAATGTTAATTTTTAGAAATTATTATTATTATTTTTTTTGTCATTCTCTGTTACCTTCTACAACTTTCTATATTGTTGTTTTATATAATATATTTAATTCCGTGCTTTCCAGCGATATATTATACGTATGCTGACTAGTATTTCCGGAGATTCATTTTCGACCTGGATAAGCATTATTATTTTTTTTCTCCTTTTTTCAATCATCAAATCCTTTCAAAACTATTGTAATATATACCTTTATTGGAAGTGGGTAAAAATGATTTAATAAATTAATGTTGAACTATTAAAAGGCAAGCTAATCTAGTTCTACTAGTGCAGGGAAAAGAAAATGGCTGCTTTGTAGTTTCCCAAGAAGGAAAATCCCAAAGAGGAGAGGGACAAAGGTTTTTGTTTTGGCAAGCAGTTGATGTTTGGCTGGAGTGAAGAGAGGATAGGAGAAGGGACCTGACTACAGTGGGTAAATCCCCAGTAATACTACAGATTACCTTCTTACCATCTTACAGATTACACAACCTCTTATTTATTTAGGAAGTATCCCAATGGTAAGTGAGCTTCCGAGGTTATATTATTATTATTTGTCAAATATAAGAGGGATGTTAGAGTATATAGAAAAAAGGTCAGTTTGCCAATAAAGGTGTATATTACACTATATTTAGCATACTTGTACCTCAAAAAGTTTCCGTTGAAAACTCTGACTCAAAAATTTTCACAATCGCAATACTTACCCTTACTATATATTACATATATAGATAAGGAAAAGTAAAAAACAGTCAAAAAATGGCTAACCACGTGTCAAGTTTCAGAGCCTTAGTTTAAAAGCCTTGTTTTATGTATCTATATATATATATATATATATATTTTATTTTTTGTTGTTTTCATTACTTCTCATGAACATATGTATATTGTTACGTGTACTTATGAACTTGTACATATATTTTTTATGACGTGTTATTACTGTTCTACAAGATTACTGTGCTCTTAAAGTGGTTTAATTTATTTATTTTCTTACTATTTTTGTTATAAATGTTTTAATTCTTAACAAAATAAAATATATAAATCTTTATATTTTACCTTAAGGTTAGTTATTCTTACTTAGTGCTCATTTACTAGAGGAATTAATTTTTTATTATTCATGTTTTTAACTAAACAGTAATTATTTTGTTTCATTTCATCATCATGTGATTATTCAAAATTCATTTATACACCCGTATAAGAGGGTAAATGTTATATTGATGCACTTCTTGATTTTTTTCATTTAAACCAACAATATTTCCTAAAACCAACATTTATTATAAAGATGACATTTAATGATAAAAATTATAACATTAAATGAACTAAGATAATTAGATTCCTTCATTGGATGACACTCTAAAGTAGAACTAATTCAAGTCTAAAACTACATATACACTTACTTCTAGTCAAATTTTGTATTCACTTAACAAATATGCAAAACTATTAAAAATATACATACAGGCATTGACTAAATTTTGATGTAATTGTAAATTTCTTTTTGTAGATTGAAATAGGCAGAACTTATGGAATGACTGAGTGGCGTGATGATATTAAATTGCTTTTAAAACGTGCTGGTATAGAAGGAAAACCACGAGTTTTTCTGTTTGCTGATTCACAAATCAAAGATGAGGGATTTGTTGAGGATATTAATATGATTCTAAATACAGGAGATGTACCAAATTTGTATCCAGGGGAGGAAAAGGCTGAAATACTTGAAAAAATGACACAGGCTGCTAGAGAAAGTGTAAGTTTATAAGTTAATTGTATTTTTTATTTTATAGTTTGACCTAGATAAATTTATAGCCGTGCGAACTCATGAGACACAAAGTTTAAATACCCTTTTTTTTCCTTAAAACTCGACATTATTTACAAAATATCTACCATGAAAAGACTTCTAAATATTAGAATATTTCCTCTTTATTAGTGATTGTAATCCTTTCCTTTTCTTCAATTGAGAATTGTAATTTATTTTCTTAGGTAAATTGGATGATTCTTTAGGAAAGAGATAACAGTATCTATTACAATAAAGTAAAATATACTTATTAGAAGTTATATGTTATTTTTATTCCTCCCATTAATTTAAACCTTTTGCTCCTTTTTTGTGTTGATTTTCTTGAATTAGTGAATTCTCTTGGGACTTTTTTAGTTTTCTGATGGACAGAGTTAAAAGCAGCTCTCAGATTCAGCAAGGCTATAAAAAAGTTCTAGTCCTGGTCCTGCTCTAATGGATACAAATAACAGCATGAACCCACTTATCAAAATGTTTGTCAGCTGTTTCTTTTTTTAAATTTCATTCCTTTTCTGAAAATAATGTCAAAATAACATAATTGAAAAGAAGGATCAATAATTATATATTTTTTTTTAATTCTTAATTTATCATCAATTATTTATTTTTACTATTTTTTATTGTAACTGATCACCCCAACCATGCTCTTCAATTATTCACTACAGTCAACCATCAAACCACAATTATCAAAATAACATAATTTGAAAATTATAAATTAAAAAATAAAATTTACCAGTGGCAATCATTATCCCCTGTATTCTTTCAGATTATCAAGTATAATCTATAATTATGATGCTCTAAATCAAATATCGTGTATTTTAAATGGATTTCTTATTATCCTGTATCGTTTAATTAATGAGTATTACAATACTTAAAACCATTTTCTGTCATCATGAAAAAGTACTTAAAAAAATAGATTTTTTTTTCATAAATCAAGGCCGTTTGTACACCATTGTTTTATTGCTTTTACGTAGTGGCATCCTTAGGACTGAGCTAGCAGGTCAATAGCACTTTTTCATGGAGAGTGAATTAGATTGAGCCCCCAGATTTCGGATGTGTAACGCTCGGGTAAAGTCGGCTAGAGTCAACTCTCAGAAAATAAAAATTGGACCTGCTTACTGTCAAGCAAGCAAGGGAAATGTTCAGCATTTCATCCTCATTGTAATGAGCTATTATTCAAAATTGTATATTGACGTGATGCCGTATTAAAAAGGCTAAAAAGGGAAAAATATAATGTCAAGACCCAAATCAGAACAAATTAAACTACTCTGAATCTGAATACTCCATACTGAATATTTTCAAATTAAATATGACGAATCATTCTAAAATAATAAGAATATACAATCATCACATATTTTAGTTATCATAGACCTATTTCATTTTTAGAGTATGATACTAACTTAGTATTATCAGTCGGAACAAAGTTTACTAGAGTAATTTAAAAACAATTATAATATTATATATTGTAAATGTTATTACTTTTTTAATATAGTACAAAAAAATACTTATATTTCATATTTTTAAATCCGTCTTATTGATATTTTCACTTCTACAGTGTGTTCTTAAGCACACACTGTAGATATTTTTTTTTTCTAATTGTCCTAAGACAAGTCATTACTACACGAGCATTTCATATATACTGTTTACTTTTGAATTTTCTTGAATATTCAATGCCATCTTGGAGTGACAATTCGGAATTAGTTCCTAGGACATTTTAGTTCTTCAAGATTTGTTCTAATTATTATTTTTATACTTTGAATTTCTCAAATTGGTTACATGATCTTTATAAGAAATGTTATTATTCCAGCCAAAGAAAATTGATACAACTCCATTAGCACTATTTAACTTTTTCATTGAAAGAGTTCGTGCAAATCTTCATATTACTCTTGCGATGTCCCCAATTGGCGACGCATTCAGAATCAGGCTCAGGATGTTTCCTTCTCTTATAAATTGTTGCACAATAGATTGGTGAGTTGACTTTTTATGTAATTTTTTCTAGTTCATTTTAGGTAAATTCTTTCTCATTTGAAATAAACATAATAATACAACTGAATATTTAATAAACAAATAAATACAACCTTTTCTTCTTTCTAGGTTTACAGCTTGGCCTGAAGATGCTTTAGAGAAAGTTGCTGTTTCTTTCTTAAAAGATATGGACATTAGTGATAAAATGAAGACTTCATGTGTTATCATGTGCAAAATGTTTCACACATCTGTTTCGCTAACTTCTGATAAGTATGCTTTCATTTTTAAATTTGATTTTGATTTTTATTATGGGTGCTGACGTTTTCACCCAAGATTTTGTGTTATCATCGGAATCTACAAAAGTTAGGAAAAGTATTGCAATTGTGAAAAATTTTTAATCCAAGTTTTAAATACACATTTTGAGGTTCCCTGAATCCAAAAAAGAAAGTTTCGCAAAATGTTGTGTGTCTGTGTAGTCTAGATAAAAAACGAAACAATTTGTTTAATATATATATATATATATATATATATATATATATATATATATATATATATATTTTACCTCAAATATCATTCTCCTTTTTTTGAACATTTAACTGGATAACATTTCAAAACAATTCGTTATGTTCATGACCATTTAACTGACAAAATCATACAATCTCTATCAATCCTATATATATTTTCTATTTTATAATAACTATTCTTTAAAACTTCTTAATGAGAAATTATCAAAATCTTTTAATATAATATACGTTCCATTTTGTAATATACTGTAATGTCAACATTACATAGTGCTTTTGATTATTGGCGCGAAGGTGGTAACATCACGAACTACTGACAGGAAGTACAGATGGTGGGGGAAGCAAGCCCCATAGGTGGGCAGAAGGTGACTGGCCAGCGAGTGAAGAGGACATAGGTTAAGGAGAAGGTGGCCAGCCGGCTAGGAACCAGGATCTGTGAGATGTTGGTCCCCAAGTAGTGAGTGTCAACAGTAGAAGGTTGTAGAAGAGAAGTAGCAGCACCACAGGGTGAGTGAAGAATATATAAATGGACAGATCGAAAGTGCGCCAAGAATAGACTCCGACAAATTTAATGGAAACCCATGAAAGTGTCGAATAATTAATGTATGCTTTTATATAGTATAAATGAGGATGTATGTTAGTTGTCTAAACCCAACCTGGGAATTTATATATGTGTAAGAAATAAATGTTATATTGAAAAAGAAACTGGTTGTTTAATTTTGGAGGGAACGAGAACATTACAACATGGCGCCCAACGTGTGGCTATAACGCCATAACTCTTAACGAGAACATCACATTTTAATCCTCTTTTACACCATTGTCTCTTCAATTCTTCTTTATGCAGTTGAGATCTGGAACTTAAATCACTTGAAAGTTGTAGAAACCATGCAAACCAAATTTCTGAAATCATTATATTTTTGGCCTATAACTGCACCAAATTACTTCTTACGCCTAGAAACAGCTCGCCTCTCACTTTCTGCAGTAGTCTTTAAGAAACTTCTCAATTTTTATATAAAAATCTTTTTATTACCTGGACATAGACTAGCACGGTAATGCTTTAACAGATTATCAACCTTAGATGTCAGAATAAAAGACTTCAAATCAAATTGGATTTCACAACTCAAGAGAATCGCATCCATGAATAATGCACTAGATTTTTTCATAGATATGTTTAACAAAAATATACTATTTGTAAATGAAAAGCAATCATTGAAAAACTAGAAAATAATTGATATCAAATGATATAACCTGGGTAATGGCCTCCACCCACAACCCCGTCTATAGAAACATCTGAAATTTCACTTATCCGCAAGTAAAAGAAATTTGTTACACAGTTTAAATATTTACAAACACAGAGCAATAAGCCAACTATGGGTCACAGGCACAGCATATCCACAAATTACTCTACAAAATAAATATCTGATTTTAAAGACCAGTGAATGCGACCTCTGTCAGAAACCCATCCATGACACTCTAAACCATCTTCTTCTGCACTGCTCCTCTTGTAAGTCATACAGGGATCAATTTTTAAAGAATTATATATCTGGAAATGATGGATCTTTCTTTACTAGAAGACATTTTAAACTGTAACAGTATAAATAAAATGAAGCATGTATTTCTGTTCCCCAAATCTCCCAACGCCACATGCTGCAATTCAGTGATGGATATTGATCTGCAGCAGTTTCATATTCTTACATGTTACTACTGGGGGGAGGGGGAGAGGAGAGTGAATTTCCAGACGCAGCTGATGGTAGGGTTCCACCATCAGACTAAGCTTTCATGTTGTCTTTTGGTTTCTTCCCACTGCTCGACCTCGCTTTCAATCCTTTCCCCAGTTTTGAGGAATGCCTCTAGGCCGAGATCTGGCGCCCAGCCTGTGAAAGTGGCAGGGATTCGCTTCTGGATCCAGTTTTCACTGGATCTTTTGGCTTAGCCTCGCCTCCTGACAAGGCTGAAGGCCTTGACCTCGACCTCAATGCCCTCCTTTTAGAAGAGAGAGATTCCTTGGTTCCTCTTTTTTGCTCACCGGATGCCTTGATGTAATTACATAAATGCCCCAGCAAGCCTGCATTCCATGTGTTGTAAGGCTCTGGAGGCTGGTCGCCGGTATGTTGAACATTCTGATCATCTCTCCAAAGCCTCAAAGTTAAAAATGGTCCAGTTACTAATTCCTGTTATCGACTGATTTTGTATCTGGAGCCGATTAAGGTAATATTCAGCAAGCAGAGCCTTCCCAGGAAGGCTGTAATTACATAATGTTAGGTTACTGAAAATGATGATTTTGGTATACAGAAGAACAAAGTTGAAGAGGGATGATATTTATCCTGCGTCCTGAATATTTATCACCCATGATATGTAGAACAGTCGACTAACTTCCTTCAAGGGATGATTCAAATGAAGGATCAAAAGGAACAAGAGGAGGTCTATACACTACAACATAAAGGATAGGAGATGTATCACTGGAAATTTCAATCATTAGGAACTCTATGTGTGGGTTATCGGATGGAGGAGAGCAGTGGAGTATTCGGGTCTTCAGCCATTCGTGAACATACAAAGCTACACCTCTGCCAATCCGGCTCGTCCGGTCGGATTAGTAGTCCGGTAAATTGGCAGATTAGTAGTCCGGTAAATTGGCGGATTAGTTTGTAATTAGGAAGGGATGTAAGGCTTGAGCCAGGTTTCGGAAATTGCAATGATATGGTAAAAATTCTGGGTAAGGTATTCTAGGAATTTATCATAATGGGCTTGGAGGGATTGGGAGTTGACGTGACAAGTAGTAAGGATGCTGGACATGATTAGGCTTCAGGAAAATAGAGTCAGAATTTGATGAGCAGACGCTGGACCGGATATGATACATTAGATGAAATAATGTAAAAATTAAAATATAATAAAAAACTCATTAAAAAGAAAAAAATATGTGAAAGTAATAATCAATAGAAATAAATTAATTAAAAAGTTGCAGTAGTAACATAACATACATTTCAGATTTTCAATGTGAATCCTGTAAACTATGCCAAATTTTTTATCTATGTTGATATGATGCCACATTCTTTCGATGAGTTGTGTTTGGGCATTCTTCATCAAACCACAGGGAGCGGCATTCTTCTGGGCAGATCCAAGAATTGCATCAGTCGTTTTATCTAAGGCTTTGAAGCAGGCGTGCCACTCATCTTCTACCAATCTTCCTTCATGAATGTATACTGGTTTAATAATTGTAGCCGACAATTTTCAAGTTTGCAAAATTTTCCAAATTTTGAAATTCTGTAGTTCTAAACCTATTCAGTTTATCGTGACTATTCTAGTCTCAAACTGTAGTCAATTTAATCTAGTTTAAATATGTATTCAAAACGTTTTGGTTTTTTCTCGAAAATGTGCTCCTTCATGTTTGAATAGAAGTTGGGAGAACCGATAAGAGTACGAAAATTTAGCAATTCTTTATATATTTAAAAGTGGGAGAGAGGAGGCAGGAGGCTGCTGTGGTCGAAAAGTTTGATTTTCCATCTCAGTCACACCTACATAAGAAAAAAGAAAAAAAAACTTAACCACCTCTTAATGCAACTTAGACCCTCCTTTTAATGACAAGGTTACTCACTGCACTATTAATTGCTATTGGAATTTCCAATAGAGGTTCACTAGTTGATGAAAACAAAAGACTTTTGTAGTTTGGTTGAATCACTTCTAAACTAAAATACTATAATTCATTAAATTAGATTTGTTCATGCAATATTAACAAAATATATGTTTCTAATTTAAGCTTTTTTTGAATAATCTTCAATCCTTTTTCAAAATTTGATTAATTTTTTTTGTTCCACGTTCCAATTCGTATATCTCTTAGTGCGCCAGGTCGTTTCCTTGAAGACAATCCTTGAAGACAATTTTTCTTTCAGATACTTCACAGCTTTGAAAAGAAAAAACTATGTAACTCCAACTTCTTATTTGGAACTCATAATGACTCTCCAAAATCTTTACCAAAGGAAAGTTGATCAGGTTACTCTTTTGAGGACAAGGTATGAAACTGGATTAGAAAAGTTGGATTTTGCTGCTAGCCAGGTAAGCTATTTTAATAATTTTCCATTTTTTTTCTTTTTTTTAATCATAGAATTGAATTTATCAGAAATCATACATCTCCTACTTATACAGAGTGCTTCAGGGTTAAGTGGCCAAACTGCAAAAATGAACTAAGAACAGATGATCAAGCTTTAATTGCTGTAGTGAGATGTTATACTGACTTGCCTAACATCATACTACTGTAGACACCTATATTGCTTAAAATGCATGGCAGGGTTATAAATAAATAATAAATAAAAGTAGAATACTTAACTAATTATTAAATACAAGTAACTAGGGATGGAGTTTGTTGAATACATTTTGTGTCGTCATTTTAGTAAAAATTTTCACAAATGTCTGTATAAATAGAGAATTGGATATAATATCTAAGTTGTGCCAAATTTTAAGTATGGCCCTTTGATCTCCCAGTAAGGATAACCTTTTTTATCAGTGTTACTGAGCAATAGTGAACTACTACGATATTAGTGATGAAATTAATGATTTTTATACGGTAGCATCAGAGAAATAATTTTTTTAATAATCAAAGATCTGGAAATTTGAGTCAACTATATGAGTCAAAATTGTAATGCAAATTATAGGGAACGAAATTATAGAAATACTAGGGTAGATAATAATGATCTAAGAAACAACTATTTAGGACAAAATGATAATAATAGTTGTTATCAAAAGAGAAATTGAGGTAATTGTAATAATTACTGTGGAAGTTAGAATTCTCAATCTCAAAATAATTCATATGCTCTGCCAAAAAGTGAAAACATGGAAGATAACAGTGAAAATCTTCTCATTCATTCTTATTTTTTTGGGCTTAACTATGGTGCACTTCTCCTTGTTCCAGATGATTTAATAACATTGTTTGTGCGAAAATGGTTTGAGTTTCCCACATTACGGCGAGTGGCGGGGGCAGATCAGAAGATCTAAAAGATAACACTTAATCGGTAAGAGCTCCAGGTTTCTCCATCCAGAACAGCACAGATAGTCAGATGCAGCAGATGCTATCAGATTACAGTAGCTTAATAATACAGTGCGGCCATATGGTGTCATTTTTTGATTGGTTGGCCATCTTGGTTTGTCCCTTGCTTTCTGCTTGCTCTATATGCATCTCAAAACTGTTAAATTTTCATATTTTATTAGCAGTATTTTAGTTTAGAAGCTTAATTTTGTTGTTTAAGTGATAGGTTTACTTTATTAATAGGTAGTTTTTATTGAATAGTTGTACGTTTTAGTGTTTAGAGTGATAGTTTTGGTTTCATGTTCAGTGATAGGTTTCATATTCACAGACTCTTATTTTATTAGTGATATTTTGTTTAAAAGTTTAATTGTGTTGTTTTAGTAATAGATTTAGTTTACTAATTGGTAGTTTTTATTTAATAGTTATACATATTAGTGTGATAAGTTTAAATCTTCTATAACCAAGTTTTAAAATTAATTTCCATCTATTTCCTTCATAACCACTGAATTGCAAAGGAAAATCAATAAAATAAAGTAACAAATTAAAGGATCAAGTCATTTTCGAAACCGATATAAGCCAAATCAACAGTAAGAGATGATTTAAGGGGATTTTTCATAGAGAAAAATGAGTTCTGTTGATGAAGAACACATAATTAATTGTCACAATATTAAAGATAGTATTCTTAAGTAAAAAGAATTTCCCTCATATATCTGTTTTTAGCAGTAAATCTGTAAATGTATATGTGCAGAATTTATAAATTTAAATTCCTTTGTAAATAAATAAATATTCTCTGTTTTATCTTTTTTTTTTCTTTTTTTATATTTCTTTGTTGATTAAAAATGTTTTCTTTTTCAAGTTATATTGAATAATTTTTCAATCAATTGATAATTGATTGTATTTTATCCTCACAGTTTTATGTTTCACTATCAGTTATTTTTACTTGTTATATTCTGTGTGATAAAATTGAAAATATATTATAGCTACAATCTCTAATTTCCCAAAAAAGTAATGAAAAATGAATAAAACAAGGGAAAGCTTAGATTCTGGACTAATGGAAAATTCAGGTGTGACGAACATTATTACAATTTATCACATTATGATTATTAATCCATTTCATTGATAACAGGTAATTGATATTGATTGGTAAATAGAAATTTTCAAATTATACAAAAACTAAGTTACACCAATCCGAAACAAATACTCTCTTACCACCTTTAACAGGCTTAAAAGTAAAATGATAAATTTTTTTTCTATTTTAGATGCAATATACAATATCTACATTATGGTAAGAGCTAAACCATTTCATAAAAAATATTTTATATCAATGATCAGAAACGAATCTATTGATCGAGAATCAAATTTTGAACTATTTAAATTTGTAATAATAGTGAATTTATAATAGTTAGTACTGTCCAAAATCAGTCTTGGCCATGCACTTTGCAAGACCAAGACTGGTAAAAAAAATAATTTTTTTTATGAATAAAACTTAAATAGTCAAATAGTAAAATAGTAAAATAGTCACTAAAACTTGACAAATTTAATTACCATATGTAAAGAATTGGTATAACCAATGTCCTTTGGAATTTAACTCTCAATTTTTCATTCAGGCTTAGTTAGGTTTCCCATATCTGAAAAATTACAGAAATATCTCTATAATAATAAGCTAATAGGTAACTGGAAGACTGTTGCGATGCTTGCGCAAGACCAAGACCCATCATGGTCTCGCATTTGGGCAACACTAGTTGTGGTGTTCAGTCACAAGTAACAAAGTAAAAATAAATAAATTATATTTATTAAATTTACATTAAATAATTTATATTTATTACATTTACATTAAATAATTTATATTTATTAAATTTATATTAAATAATTTATATTTATTTAAAGTTTTGTTTTTTTCAAAGGAGAATATTAAAAAGAAAAACGAAAATAGTTTCATGGTTGCTGACTTAGAATTGAGTTTCTGGTTTTCCAATGAAAGTTAATTTTCACTCAGTTTTTGTTTAATGTTTTAATAATTAGATAAAATTGTTTGTGAAATTTGCCAATGAGAGAATTAGATGAATAAAATGGAAATCGCAATATTCTGAAGTTTATTGAAATATATTTTAAAAGAAGTTAAATAGAAAAAATATTGTTCTTTGATTTTATTATTTATTTTCGTGTGATATAAGTGATTAATATGCTTCATTCAACTTGTCCAACTTCAATTCTATCTCCCAAACCATTCTATTTAATAATTTATTACAATAATTACTTTTTAAATTGAAATAACAAAATGAGACTATTCAAATATTAGTTTCCCGCCGATCCAATATGGCTTCCCCATCTGTATGAACGCCCTGTATTATTACGCCATTGTACTCCTCCGCAATAGTGGCGCTTCCTGGTGCTATCTGTTGTAATCCTTATCTGAAACATTGTGGATAATCTGCCATCAACGAAGATGGAACTTCTTCTGCTACTACTTCGGAAGTAGTACCTATTTAATTAGTAAAAACTCGTAAATACCCATTTGCTTTCCACTAGGATCGTAATTTAATTTGATCACAAAATCTTATTGTGTGATACTATATGATATGATATTATACAACCGATAATGGTAAATAATAAACTGGTGGTACATGAATCTTAACTAATATTACAATACACGTATTAAAAATGAAATATGTAAAAAGTTATACAAACTAAAAATAAAGTATATAATCCATTTATAAAAATTTGTAATATATTCTCTTATTAACCGTGCTTGGAGAACTGGGGTTGTTCAAGTACTACTGACACATTTGATAGGTAAGTGATAGGGTCGGGGGAGGATTTCCCAGTTGCCCTTCTTCAGATTGCAAAAGATATTTTTGATTTGGATTTTTATAATGTGGTCAGGAAAGGCATTGGATTTCAGGATCTTGTGTAGTTTGGTTAGGTTATTGTCGTGGAATTGCTGGTTGGTTACTGTTGGACTGGACGACAATAACCTAAAGGTAGTATTTCGCTGGCGCGGTCCACGACTGTGACTGCTTGCCACTGCTTTAGTGGAATAGAAAGGAACCTATTTCGCTGGTGTTGCTTGGCAGTCTAGGTATGACGTCATATCCAAACTGCTCCTATTTTACCGCTCTTGAACCAGTGGAGCTGTTGGCGGTTCGGCTGTTGTAGGTTATGTTATCATATCATAGCATTGTTTTGATGATAACAGTCATGTTGATATGTTTTTTTTTCTATATTTTTTTCAAGTCAGGCAAAATTATAAGAAATATTGTTTAAAACTTAAACAATGCAATAGTAAATTATTTTTTTAAGGTTGAAGTAACAAGATTATTTATTTCACCAACATATTTTACAGCGAAATTCAAATATACCTAAATCCAAACGATATTAAATAAATTAAAGAATCCAACAAATTTTAACGTCAGGTAAATACTAAAATCCACTCATTGAAAAATCGATTTGTATTTTTTAATTAAAGTGGGTATTTACTAATTACTATTGATAAAACGATAAAACATTGTCTGCTTTGATTTAATTACAAATATATGATATTTATTACTAATCAATTATGAAATAATTACTATTACTTTTCAAACTAATAATATCTAATATCAGAGGGACTATTGTTGTTAGTACGGCGTTGCCCGCCTTTTTGTTCTTTTTTGATTGTTCATCTAGACAATAGCAAACAATGTCCAAGAAGTTATTTGATGATTTGGATGATGATCATCTCATCGAAATACTGATATTCCTTCTCTTTATGGACACCATTTCTTCTTCTTCCTCAAATAAAAAAGTGTAGTCAGATAAATAATGTCCATTTTTTTATCTTCGAAGATAAAGCGAAATGTTTGAAGGTTATAGGCAGGTTATAACAATCCTAGTGAGCAGTTTCAGGGAAATAGCTACACCAACAGCGGTTGGCAGTGTGGAATAAACTTAACTGTCGTGGGCCGCACCAGCGAAATAGTACCTTAACCAAAATACACAAGATCCTGAAATACAACACCTTTCCTGATCACATTATAGAAAACCTAATAAAATATCGATCCAAATCTCATCTTCACCAGTCTCCCACAAACTGCTCTCAATCTCCCACCACGATTCGCCAATACAGATCCATTCCATACATCTCAGTCCTACCTCAAAAAATCAAAAAAGCTTTAACTTCCAAATTCTCCCATCTCCAAATAGTTTTCAAAAATAACAGTAAATTAAGAAATCTATACACCAAACTCAAAGATCCTGTTCCATTCCTACAACAATCAAACATTGTATACCATATCACATGCTCTAGCCCAAACTGCAATTCTTCTTATATAGGAGAAACCAAAAACGATTTTAAAAAAACCAAAAACGATTATAATAGTCTTTATTATAAATATTATTTGGCTAACCATTGTATACCTTTAATCAAACTATGTTATATTTATATTGATTGGCACCTCTCGCTCATGTTCATTTCATTACTAGCCAATAGTCACAATTCTGTAACCATAAGAAACAAAAGTCTTGTACACATCTTGAATATTTAGTCAGAAAAGTATTTACATTCTACAAACAGAAATGTTACCTCCCTCTCCCATCCCTCTGACTATGTTTACCTACCTTTTGCTATCTGAAAAAGGACAACTGGAAAATCCTCCCCCGACCCTTTCACTTACCTACCAAATATGTCAGTACTTGAAAACCTTCAGTGTTCGAACCACGGTTAGTTAGAGAAAATATTTTAAAAAATTATAAATGGATTATATACATTTTAATATGTGTATTGTAATATTAGTTAAGATTCATGTACCACCAATCCCTGTAGTTTATTATTTACCATTATCGGTCGTATAATATCATATCTCTGAATGTATTTTAAAATTTTCAGCCCTGATGATGACCCACATGTTTGGGTTGAAACGTCGGCACAAATAAAAAATTAAATAATGTTTACAATGACTGCAACCTGAATATTTATCATCCATAATTTGATTAAAAGGAGTCTGTACGTGAAAAATGATAAAACAAATTAATCCACTAAATTTTTTTGAAGATATATATAGATGGTACCAGTTTACGGTTCACTCCACCCACTTTTCAATAAAATTTATCAAACAATGAAATCAAATTTAGATAACTAACAGGTTCCTCAACCAACTGCCTGATGTCTCACTGGAGGATCATGAGTATTTTTTGTCCTAATTACCATCCAAAGCATAATTAGAGGTAAATCTCTCATTCTGATTAATTACATATCTATAATAAATGCAATATGATTTCATTTAAACCTATGTCCATGTACAAATCTAATAACTACAACTACCTCTCTGAATCAAATAAAGAAATCCAAATGATAATGTCTGAGGCTAACTTACAATATTATATTATATTATTACAATATACAAATATTTAGGTTTTCCTCTAGAGGAACACTATGCATGTGAGGATTTAGGAGTTTTACTACTAATGGAACAAGAAAAAAATAAAACATAAATTACAAATCAATTATTTATATAATACTAATATTTTCTTTCCCAATTTATGCTTCTCTTCCATCTGTACTTTTCTAATAGCACTTTCTTGCTGAAATATTTCCAGTTCAACTTTAGTTTTCTTGCTGAGTAAATCTAATTTATATTTGTTGATCCTGTTCAACCATTTTTGCTCCCTCCTCTCTGCTTAACAGATATTAAAGATATTTTTTTTGTATTGTTCTCTTACCTGAGTCAATCCCTGATAGAGAGTGATTCCTGTCCCACTCCTGTTGGGATACTCGAGCAGTCTCTAGTTATTTTACCTTTTATTCTCTCTTCTACCCTATTTTTTTCCTCGTTTTTTATGATGAGCTTAATTGACGCAACAAGTGTAAAATTTCCTATACTTGGCAAGGTCTGAGAATTTTCATCTGGCTTGCTCTTGCTGAGGTTTCTGAGCTTTGCCTAAGGTACAACGGAGGATAAGAAGGAAAAAAAAGTAGAGAGATGATGTTAACATTTTTTTTTTTTTTTAAGGTGTCTGTAATGCAAGATGAACTGCATGCTTTACAGCCTCAATTAATTAAAACTTCTGAAGCAACTGATAGGCTTATGGTTAAGATTGAACAAGATACAGTTATAGTTGAAGCAAAAAAAGAGGTAAATATTATTTTGTTATGAAAAGTCCTAATTGTATCTGATATTTTATATGAAAAAGTATTTATTTCCTATTGTATTCAATATTTGTTTAAATAGATAGTTGGAGCAGATGAAGCATTAGCTAATGAAGCAGCAGCAGCTGCTCAAGCAATTAAGGATGATTGTGAAAGTGATTTAGCAGAAGCTATTCCTGCTTTGGAAGCTTCGATTCAAGCTCTTAATACTTTGAAACCTTCAGATATTACAATTGTCAAAAGTATGAAAAATCCTCCTTATGTAGTGAAGTTGGTAAGCCTATGTTTAATATATTTATCTATGTTTACAAAAGACAGATACCACTCACTACTGACTTAATGATCACTAAATCTCAAAAGTAACTATGCCTATCAACATGAAATTGTAAATATTAGTCTTCCTTGTACTGTATATATACAATTTGGCTGGGTTTGAAAAAATTCATACTCTTAATTAGTTTAAAAAAATATATATTTCTTTGAATAAATTTAACTGTAGGTCTCCTGGAACATTATTTGTACTCATTTGAAATATAATTTAATTCACTATTAAACCAAAAACATATAATTTTACTAAGGTTAGTATTGGCAAAGGTATTGACAGCATATATGTTCTATTGTCATCAGTACTCCCTTGATACGTTTCTGTACCAGATCATTAGAACTCATCGACCCTCCTATATTTTTCACAGCTTACAATTGAAATACTCCATTCAATCCCATCTCTCTAGATCTTGTATTTTCGACCTCTATCCTCCTCCTCACCGAACTGCTGCGTTTGACTAATCATTTGCAATTCAAGCTGCCTCCTTCTGGAATTCCATCCCTGCTGATATTCGACACACACAATCAGTTTCCTCTTTCAAAACTCTCCTTTTTAAACACATTCTTCTTTCTCAATATGACTGATTACGAAATATACTTAAGAGAACTATCTAAGTACCCCCAGAGACTATTTATGTAACTTTAGTTTCCTTTTTTTGTCTTATATATTTGTATTCTTTTCTTGTCTTTTTCTCTCTCTTCTTCTGTATTTTTACTTTTAATTAACTGTTATTGTAAATATTTAATTTATTTAAGACCACAGACATGCATTCTGTACTTATAATTTGTTCTAAAGGGACAACAGTCCCAGAATTATAAAGAGAGGATCAGAACTCTGTAAGATAATATTCCCTGCCCACTATTGGTCAGATTTTTTCCACAAATTCTAAGAGATGAGTTGATCCATAAGTGTAAAGTGGTAAGAAATTTTTCTATTCGTCACATGGGCTGGCAGGAGAACGATGCTCACAAAATTTTCATCGGTGAAGCAATAACCTTGACCAATGGGCACCTGTATAGCCAGACAAAGGAAGGCAGCTGGAAAAATAAAATATATTTGGTTTGGTGATGGCAAAGTGAAGTGTAGGCGAACCGACGGGCAGCCCGTAGTCGTTGTAAATTCACCTTCTGACCTTGACGTCTTCGCTGGACTTCCTCCACCCTACCATCTCGGTTTCCAGCTCCTTTTTCTGTTTTCTTAATTCCTATAACTTCAATTTTTCTTTTAAATTTGTTTATGTGTATATTGCAGTTTTGCCAGGAGAAGTAATTATCTTGATCAGTTTTATTATTAGTATTGCAGCCAGTTTTATTATTATTATTGCTCATTTTTCGCCAGAGTATGTTTCTGTTCTCTATTTATATGGATGTACTGTTTTTTTTATTTCTTAGCTCCACTGATTATAGGATACTATCTGGATTATTTCTTCTACCTATTTTTTGTAGTTTATACTTTTCAATAGTTTTGTTATTAATGTTTCAGTATTTACAGTGTATCTCAGATCAATCCAACCTGATTATTTCCTTATCTTTTGCCCCTCCTGCTGGTTTAGTATCCCAATCTTCCAGCTCCTATGACTAATGTCCTCTTATCCTGTCATGTCAACGCAGTCACTTTTAGCCCACATAGATGAATTCAATAATTTCTTTCTCTACAACTTTTATCACCTAATAGCTGTCTCTGAAACCTGGCTAAAACCCACAATCATATCCTCTCAAATTTCACTCCCTAACTATAACCTACTCCGTCACAATAGAGTAAATAGAACCATAGGTGGAATATCCCTATTTGTCCACGATAGCCTGAAATCCTCGCTTTCTTTCCTCTTTTCGTCTCCCTACATATCAAATATCTTTTTGCTGAAATATCCACCTCCTCATATCTATTACTCATTGGTGTCATCTACCGACCTCCTAGAGTGCCCTTTGATGAATGAGACCATCGTTTATAAACTGACCCCTTCCTACTTTTTATTTATTTTTATTTTTTTGGGTCCTCCTCTTCCTCGCTGTTAAGGCTATACGGGGTTTTCCCGGGCCAGAGGGTGTGGGCGGGGATTTAAAAGATGCCTTGGCACCGGGAGGCGAACTCGTGACTATTTTTATATCATTTTATATCACCACTGAACAAAACCTCTAATCCCGTGACCCTTAATGATTTCTGTCCAATTTCCCTGTTATCTAACCTTTCCAAATCTTCAGAATGAATAGTACAATTCCAACTATCCCACTATCTTGAACAGAACAACCTTTTGAACTACTTCCAGTCCGGTTTCAGACCTGACCACTCATTCCGCCCATATTAAAATCTCTCGGAATCTCCAAACAGCCATAGACCAACAGAAACTCACCATTCTGATCCTTCTTGATTTCTCTAAAACACCTCCCTTCTTCTATAAAGCACTGTCAATGTCACTTATATGCCGACTACGTCCGAATTTACCTTTCCTTCAACCTGGCAGATTTCTCTAATGCCATCCTGAAACTGCAACAAGATATCAATAGAATTTGTGCATGGGCAAATTTTAATAAGCTCACGCTATATACGGAAAAGACAAAAACCATCCTGGTCGGATTCCACTCACTCCTCAAATCCATTTTAGTACCTACCAATCTTCTCCTGAACAACTCATCTATCTCCTTTCATACTACCATTATATATATATATTGTAACGTTTTCAAAAGGAACAAAAACAAACAAACGAGTTTCCTTTTTGAATATCTTATTTATTTTAACACATAATATAAATCTTCAGGTTGGGTTCTGACACCTGAACACTCATTCCTATTTATAAAGACAATGTACACTAATTCATTAATTACTACTACACTTATTTATAATTTAAAATATTTTATTAAATAATTTGTCCCGGTCTAAACTTTTGGTTCTATCCCTCTGTCAACATAAATGGCATTGTTAGCACTCACCCAAATGTTGACGCCTGCCAGCGAAATAATCTCTTCTTACTTACGATTGTCCACTTAATGTTTCTGTACCACTTAATTAATTTCTGCTATATTCTTTCTTCCAACATAAAATAATCTTCACTAGTGGCCTCTGTCAACACTCGAACCGGCTAAGACTCCTTTTCCTAATTTCTCCACTTGCTGGCTGGCACCTTCCCCCTTGGCCGCTTGTCTCCTTCTCTTGACGGCTCATGATCTTCTCTCTTAGCCGCTAGCACCTTCCCTCTTGGCGGCCCGTCGCAGTCTCTTTCTGCCTTACATGAAGCTTGTTTCCCCCACTTTCTTCCCGTAGTTCGCGCCATCACCACCTTTGCGCCACTATCCAAATGCCATGTAATGTTGACATTACAATATATATATATATATATATATATATGTATGTAAGGTTACTTGAGCAACCTTTAAACACTTCAACTGTTACTTATCTTTAAATCAGATGTTAATGATTATTTATTAGAAAATACCTTCTTGTATTGTTATATTGGATTAGTGTTAGAATTAACTTGTGTTATAATAACTTGTAATTAAATTCTTTTACTTTAATTGAATAAATCACGTCTATAAAAGATCTTAGAAATTTAATTACAAGATCTCAACACATAAGAAATGACTCTTCTATAAATTCAAATTGTGAAGAGAAGTGAGGAAGACTTTGTGGTTCATTGTGTTTCAGTCGACAAAAGAAATTGGTTTTTATTACCAGAAGACACCCAGGACTTGAAATTTCATACGTCTCTATCAAGTAAGAAACCTTTATTAAATGCTGTGTATGCTATAAAAAATGTTAATGGTTATAGAACAATAGGGGTTAAGATTGATGATGACATTATAAACGAATATTTTGATGAATCATCTAATATTTGTTTTAGAGAGTTACCATTGGAGGAATGTCTTCCAAAAACAATTCCTTGCAGACCTACAGACACTCAATCAGAATTAGAAGATCATATTAAAAGATTAGAGATGCAATAAAAAATGAATTCGGAACAAAATGAAATTAAACTGCATCATATTGAAATTTTTTTTATTTTAGAACCATTTGATAAAAAGCAATCAGATCCTATAGAGTGGCTACGTAGGTTCGAAGAAGAATGTTGTCGATTTCAGATAAAATCCGATAATTTAAAAATTCAAGCGTTACGTTTTTATCTCATTAATGGTCCGGCTAATGATTGGTATGAGAATAATTTAAAGAAGATTGGTCTGAACGATTCTTGGGGCATATGGAGGGACTCTTTTAAAAATATTTTTGTTGATAAAGGCTGGTCTCTTGTGAAAAGAGCTTTAGGCTACAAATATTTAGGCGGATCCCTAGTCGACTATGCCCTCACCAAGGAGAGATTATTACTTGACATAGAGCCTAAAGGCACGGAGATCTCCCGTATAAACCAGATTGTTTTCGGTTTGCCAAATGAGGCCCAGTTGAAACTCGATCGAGAAAAAATTTGTAATTTGTATGAATTATACTCAAAACTACTGATTACATTACAACATATGTAGTCAAGAATAATAATTTCTCCTATGATTTATTACTAGGTATAGATGCCATCAAGAAATTTAAACTACTACAAGATGAGAATCTAAGAATTTTGCAACGTACCAATGACACAAAAATCATAACATCAGAAGATCTCTCCTGATAGAATAGATGGAAAAGATAGAAATATAAATTTAACACGGTCAAAACTTGATCAGATTGAGACATACGGTCCTCTTCAAAACCAGAATACAACTACTTGTAAGAACTTAAGAAGTGTACAACATATTGAACAAGAGGAGCACAAAGAACAGATTTCATATTTACTAAAAAAATACCAACATATTTTTGCTAAAGACAAGTTCGACATAGGTAAAGTTCATTCACGAGAAGCAGAAATAAAACTAATCAGAGATGAGTTTGTCACTTCTCGCCCTTATAAATGTTCTATCCTGGATGACGAAGAAATACGAAGCCAAATAAAAGGACTCTTGCAAGCTGGGATCATCGAAGAATCAGACTCCCCGTTTTCTTCGCCCGTCACACTGGCCTACAAAAAGGAAGAGAAGAGGAAATCTTGACTCTGCATAGATTTCCGAAAGCTAAACAAATTAGTAGTTCCTGAATGTTTCCCGTTTCCTACTATTCAAGATGTAATTGATAGAGTAGCTAATTGTGAATTCTTCACCGTTTTGGACATCAATTCTGCATTTTGGTGCATATCGCTTCGTGAGCGGGATCGGGAAAAGACCTCTTTTATTACGAAATATGGAAAATTTATGTTTAAAGTTCTTCCGTTTGGTATTAAAAATGCTTCCGCTATATTCCAGAGAATACTATCCAACATTATAAGAAAAAATAACCTGGACAATTTCTGCATAAACTACATTGATGATATTTTAATTTTTTCTCGGAATTGGGAAGACCATCTTCAGCATATCAGCAAGGCTTTAGAAGTTATGATCACTGAAGGTTTCAAACTGAAAATAGAAAAATGTCTGTTTGATGCGAAATCAGTAAAGTACCTAGGACACAAGTTTTCGAAAAATAAAGTGTCACCCGCCCAAGATAATTTAATATCGATTCAGAAACTCCAGAGGCCCTCAGAAAAGTCAGGTGTAGGGAGCATTTTAGGCTCCATAAACTTTTATTTGAAGTACATAGAACAAAGTGCTGTCAAACTAGAACCATTGCATCGTTTATTGAAGAAAAATGTTAAATTCGAGTGGTCAGATGAATGTGAAGAAGTTTTCAATATGATAAAAAACTTTTTGTGCAGTTCCCCGGTCCTCGCTATATATGATATTGAGAAGCCTGTCTTCATAGAGACAGATGCAAGCTTAAAAGGTATCGGAGCAACCCTAAAGCAACCACAAGAAGATGGCCTACTTCATCCTGTTGCTTACTACTCACGCAAGCTTTCAGAACGTGAGAAACGTTTAGATGTTATTCACTTGGAATGTAAAGCCATTAAAGATGCGATTAAGTTCTGGCAATACTACTTAATTGGACGTCACTTTACAGTTTGCTGTGATCACAAGCCTTTAGAAAACTTGAGGACAAAAGCCAAATCTGATGAAATTCTGGGAGATTTGATTCTTTATTTATCCCAGTTCAACTTTGATATTATCTATAAACAGGGAAAAGATAACATTCTGGCTGATCTACTCTCCAGAAATCCAATCATTGAACACTTCGAGAATGAAGATTCAATCCGGATCACCAACTTAATAGACTTGTCAGCCATAAAAAAAGACCAGGCTGATAATTTTTCAGAGCTGAGAGCGACTGACCAGATTTTATCAAAGCAGGGCATAATTTTCAAAAATATTAGGAAGAAATCAAGAATTTATGTATCCCAAGCATTTGGAAAAGAAATTATTAAAATCATTCATCAACACTATGGCCATATCGGCCCATCTCACATGAAAGCAACTATCAGACCATATTACTATTTCAAGGGCCTAGATAAAGCAATTAATGACTTCTATAGGAGTTGCAAGATTTGTATTTAGAACAAAACTCGTCGTAGTCGTGCCATCGGCCTGCTCTCCCGTCTCGGCCCAGCCACAGAGCCTTCCCAGATCATGTCGCTCGACAGTGTCGGAGGTTTCGGAGGGAACCGCTCTTCCAAACGGCACATGCACATTCCCGTTGACCACTTCACAAGATTTGCATGGATCTCTACAACAAAGGGTCAAACAGCTAAATATTTCATAAACTTACTCGATCCTGTAGTTAAACAACATAATATCTTGATTCTACTGGCTGACCAATATACAGGTATTAACTCAACTTTTTCCTGAAATATTTGAGAAGTGTTGGGACTCAGATCGTTTTCACATGCATTGACAATCCCAGTTCCAACGGATTAAACAAAAGATTGAATCAGACCTTAGTGAATCGCCTGCAATGTAAGATAAACAATGGCAATAGAAGAGCCTGGTCTACCTTGGCAGAAAAATGTGTGAACGAATACAATAATACCATCCATAGTTCCACCCACTTTGAACCATCGTATCTATTGTTCGGCCATCAATCTTCTATATCTCCACTTGGAAGCACTCCATCCTCTTTAGAAGAAGACCGCAAGATAGCTTTCCGGAATTCAACGAGGAGTTTCAGTATCAATAAGAAACGCGTTGATAGGAATAGAACGCAACATACTTTCAACGTTGGCGATTTAGTGTACGTTAAGAATGGCAATAAATTAAGTCGCAATAAGCTTGATCCAGTTCGGATTGGACCATTCCCAGTCGTCAGACAGATTTCTTCATTGTTCTATGAAGTAGCCAGCGGAAAGAGGAAGAACGTCTCAAACTTGTTCCACTCCAGCAAGCTGCTTCCTTACTTCCCGCCGCCGCCTCAAGAAGCGACCTCCAGGGGGGAGGTGTAAGGTTACTTGAGCAACCTTTAAACACTTCAACTGTTACTTATCTTTAAATCAGATGTTAATGATTATTTATTAGAAAATACCTTCTTGTATTGTTATATTGGATTAGTGTTAGAATTAACTTGTGTTGTAATAACGTGTAATTAAATTTTTTTACTTTAATTGAATAAATCACGTCTATAAAAGATCTTAGATATATATAATGTGGGACTGAGTAAAGACACTTTGAATGAATTGACTGACCTTGTTTATTATTCTTCAATTTTGAGGCCTATAGGAAAACTAAATAAAAGGACTATTCACTCCTGTCTAACAAAACAATTTATTTTAACAACTGATAATAAATGAATATATTAAAGTCTTATAACTGTAGGCTTGATATTCTTGATCTTCAATGTCCTGCCTCTCTCATCTCAGGTAACGTCCTCTTGCCTCGGTGTTTCTGCGTCAAGTGCCCTTCCCTCTTTTCTTGGCGTCCTTCTGGCAGCTGCTGCTACCTGACCAGACCTTTTTCCTTCTTCATCGATTGTTTATAGATTTCAGATTTTTCAATGAATAATTTGTCCACTGCACAATTGAGTACAATTCATCTTGCAACCTCACATTTCTATATATTATATATTCCTTCTCATTCTCCTACACAATGTCACACAAAGAAGTAAATACAAGGGGCTATCTACTACAACGTGTTAATTTATATTCTGTATTTATAATTTGTTCTAAAGGAACACTAGTCCCAGAATAATAAAATTATTTTCATTCATTCTTTTTACTAGAGCAAAGTTTATTTTCCTTTTGTTGTATTATTATTTCTGCTCATTCAATAGGTGATGGAGGCTGTGTGTGTTATGAAAGGAATTAAACCAGAAAGGAAACCAGATCCCAGTGGAAGTGGAAAAATGATAGAAGATTTTTGGGGACCTTCACAAAAAATGTTGGGTGACATGAAATTTCTGGACAGTTTGAAGGCATATGATAAAGACAATATTAATCCTGCAGTGATGAAAAGAATTAGAGAACGGTAAGTAGAGTTTTTAATACTTGTTAAATAAGATATTTATTAAGATCATTTTTAAAATTCTCATGTTTCATTAAATAAAAATAGTTTTCTTGTCATGTTTTTTAGATTAATAAAGTAATGTAGAAAATATTTTGACCAAAATGTTTACTATTACAGTAAACAAAAGTCATGTGGATTTGATATTATGTATTTAAGATAGATATATGCCAGAGATGTTACACTTTTTTTTTTCTAAATCAACTAAATGGTACATGATATCATACATTTTACACGTTTTTACAATTTCCTCAAAAACAGCCTTAAGAATTTTGAATAAAGTCATCATCTTAATAAAAAATCTAATAGTCTTTAATTTCAGATAGGTCTTATCCTCAGTGTAATAGTGTAGTAAAATTTTCTAAATTTCATCTTCTAAGGTACCATTAATTTTCTGTATTAGAAATAATAAAAGGTTACTCATAGTAGTAATTCAAAGTTGATTAAAGAGAGGGAAGAAATATTTTTGGAATTTGAAAACAAATTTCTAGAAATAAGAGTAGTAATATAGGTGTATGCCTCGCGCTGGCTCATTACCGCGTATGGGGAGCGTCCCACGGGTGGCGGATGTGGGGATGGTCGGTGGAAATTCCTTGGAAGTTCTTCCCGGCTAAGTCCGATGGACTCGCTGACCAACATTGAGAGGGGCCCTCCAGACTTGCTGGAGGGAGGGGACCTCCAGACTTGCTGGAGGGAGGGGACCTCCAGACTTGCTAGAGGGAGGGGACCTCCAGACTTGCTGGAGGGAGGGGACCTCCAGACTTGCTGGAGGGAGGGGACCTCCAGACTTGCTGGAGGGAGGGGACCTCCAGACTCCAGACGTAGGATTGAACGCCCTACTCACATATCTTTAGTTCACCAAACACCACAAATAGTCATGGATCTCCCTAAGGTAAAACGCTCATTATCCGGAAGTAAACTAGTCCCACGTTCGGGTCTCCGGGTGGGGACTGCTTTAGGGGATTCATGGCGCAAGTTGAAATATAGGGATTTAAATATTGGTACGTGGAACGTAAGGAGTTTAAACACAGCAGGGGGGCTAAAATCGGTCGCGAATGAGGTGAATGGGTACAATTTGGATGTCGTGGCTCTGCAAGAGGTTCGCTGGCCAGGGGAGGGCTTGATGAGGGAAGGAAAGTACACTATTTGGTACGGAGGAAGCGGGAATCACTGTTTGGGTACCGGGTTTCTAATTAGGAGTAGATTACTATCTGCTTTGAGGGACGTACAATTCTTTAGTGATAGAATTTCGGTAGCCACATTTCAGGGATGTTGGTTTAAAATCGCATTAATAAACATACATTGTCCGACCGAAGACAGTGACGATGAAGTCAAAAGTGAATTTTACGATAAACTCGAATGGATTTATGATAAACTACTGCTAAACTACATGAAAATAATTATAGGTGACGCGAACGCAAAGGTAGGAAGGGAAGAAGTTTATATTCCAACAATTGGCAAAGAAAGTTTGCACGAATATAATAATAATAATTAGCAATTATTGGCTGATACAGATAAAGGGTACCCACTTAACTCTGAAATGAAGCTTTCTCATTCATTCTATATGGATGACCTCAAGCTTTACGCTAGGAATGAAGACGAAATGCAAGCTCTTCTGAAGACAGTAAGAACGTTCAGTAATGATATAAAAATGGATCTAGGAATAGATAAATGTGCAATAGTACACGTGAAAAGAGGAAGAGTTATTAAGGGGAGTAATATTGAGATATCGGAAAATGTAATAATGAATCAATTGAGAGAATCTGATTCTTACAAGTACCTTGGAGTACACCAACTTCTGAAATTCAATGCTAATTCAAAGAAAAACTTTGAGGAAGAATTTAAATACCGTGTTAAATTAGTACTTAAATCACATTTAAGTGGAAGAAATCTGATACGGGCATTGAATACCTGGGCAATACCTGCTTTAGCCTACTCATTTGGGGTACTGAAGTGGACTAAAACCGATTTAGAAAGGTTGGATCGTTTTCTTAGAGTACAGATGGTGCTTTCAAGGAAGAGGGATCCAAAGTCATCTGTAGTGAGATTGTATCTTCCTAGGAAATTGGGAGGGCGTGGTCTAGTCAGCCTCTTGAATTTATGCCGAAAGGAAGAAAATAATCTTCGCAACTACATTATAAACCATACTTCCAATATCCTTTCAACTATCGCATCATTAGATATAAATTATACAGCTTTGAATTTACGAAGCCCTGGAATCCCGATTAGTGAAGCAGATGATGGCACTCGATCAGAAATATGGAAAAATAAACCTTTACACGGACGATTTTATCACTCATTAATGGATGTAGGAGTGGACACTGAGGCGTCATTGACATGGCTGAAGAGTGGAAGTATCTTTCCGGAAACAGAAGGATTCTTGTTTGCTATTCAAGAACAGGTAATAGCCACAAAAGCATACAGAAAATATATATGTGGAGAGGGCATCGATGACTTATGTCGCTTATGCAAAAAGGCAGTTGAATCAATTCAACATGTAACATCGGGATGCACAATACTTGCGGGTAAGGAATACTTGCAGACACAACAATGCAGCTAAGGTAGTGCATCAAGCTATGGCTCAGAAAATGGAACTCGTCGATAAGTATTGTCCGTATTATAAATACCATCCAGAACCAATTAACTCCATGCGCAATGTCAAGGTGTTCTGGGATCAACCGATCCTGACGGATCACACCATCCCCCACAATAGACCAGACATTCTTATAATAGATAAAAGTAAGCAATCTGCGTTTATCATAGAGATTGGAGTTCCTTCTGATGATAACCTGCACAAGGTAGTAGTGGAAAAAAAGAGAAAGTACGTAGAATTGGCTGAAGAGATCAAATATGGCTGAAGAGAGATCAATTATATCATTTGAAGGAAACCCGAATTCTGCCAATTGTAATCTCGTGCAACGGACTGATACCGGAAGAAACTGTATCTTCTCTGCGACTACTAGAACTACCATCTCAGACGATCGAAAGAATGCAACAAGCGGTGTTGTTGGGAACGGCAAATATTGTCAGGAAGTTCACAAATATAAAATAATTAAGAAAATATACAAATGTAATTTTTGGCTGACCTAATAGGTCCCCAACTATTACATAATTTAAACACCATTGGATATGTGAAAAATAAAGAGAAAATAATAATAATAATAATCCCGCAAGGGGCAACTGATAGGTGCAGTTGCAGGGGTTTTACGATCCCCCGGTTTCTTGAGTACACTACACCACCTACAGATACACACACAACCGTCCACTAAATCATTTACACTGACACTAAGGACACAGACAGTACACACCCTAGGGCTACCTCCCCTAGGATGACCTGGCAGCAGGTATAAAATTCATCTACCCATCAAAATGGTGCGAACTAGGAAACAAATAGCCTCGGATGATTCCGAAGTAAGGGCTGCTTCGGAGGGATTGGATATTCAGCCTTCGACATCTGCAGGTGGTGCGAGCGGTGCCTCGGTGTCGTATGTTCCCGTAAGACCGGCTGCCATAGGATTTTCATCATTAAACTTTGAACCGTGCTTGGATACCGTTGAGTCTCCCACGCGAGGAAGAGGAATCATTGGCCAAATAGGTAGGCAACGAAGGATGAAGTGGGACCGCAATATGATTATTGCTGCTATCCGAGCTTACTTATTGGCTACAAACTTAGAGAAAGAAAAAACAGGATATCGCAAAAGAATCAATCGTCACTGGAATGAAAAATATCCGCAAATAGCTGTATCATCTCAAAGACTCGCTGACCAGGTCAATCAAATATTAGAACGCCAGTTTTTATCCTAATCGGAAATTAATGCAATCAGAACAGAAGCAGGTAATATACTTGTCCGAAACTCACAGATAGAAATACAACAAGTAGAAGAGGCAGAATCCTCGGCGATTATGCAATTGGAAACGACTTCTGTGAATACCCAAGAAGCGTCACACATCATAGAGATGCGTAATATACTATTAAGAGAACACATAATGTATGAAGGAATACCTTTGGACAGTAGACCCTCTATACCAAAGGTACCATATTCCAAAAGAACTTTATCCACTGTCAACACCGTCAACGAGATACTTGCTGAGCATATGTCGATGGGTATAACTCTAGAAGAGATATGTCATTGGATATACGTAGGGGCCCGAACTGTCTCGATGGAGCTAGGTTTGATAAAAGATAAGGTGAATTGTAATAAAACTAATGATTGCAAAGATCCTCCCTGGAAGAGAAGAATTAAAAAAAAGATCGAAAATATACGGTGTAAAATCGGAATTATTATTAATTACCTTCGGAACCCAGAAAATGCTTCTTTAAAACTAAAGAAAAAAATTGATGAAATTATTGTATTAAATATTGGAGGAGTAGTAAGAAGTGAGTTAAATAAAAAAGTTGGTGTTTATATGGAAACGCTCAAGCAGAAATTAGCAGTGTTAGCAAATAGAATGAGGAGGTATACAGAAGCTCATGATCGAAGGAGACAAAATTCAATATTTAATAAAAGAGAAAAATATTTTTATAAATCTTTAAAACCTAAAAAGGAAGATAATAACGATGTCTATCCAGATCCTATTGAAATATCAGAGTAGTACAAAGGTATTTGGGAAAGTAAAAAATGTTTTAACAATGAAGCAAATTGGTTGGAAAATATTCGCCATGGCTTATCAGATCTCCAACCTATGGAAGCAACCAGTATCACTGTGGAAGATGTGACTAAGGCACTCAAGCAAATGAAAAACTGGAAAGCTTCTGGTCCAGATAAAATACAAAATTACTGGCTAAAGTCCTTTAGCAGTGTTCATAGCCACCTAGCTGTGTGGTATCAGAAACTATTGTCTGAAGAGATTGACTTACCAGCGAAGTTCTGTACCGGTACGACTCACTTAATAAAGAAAGGAAGCAAAAACAGGCTGGAGCCACAGGATTTGAGACCCATAACTTGTCTTAATGGTGTGTACAA